GACAGAGAGCCGATGAGCCAGGGCGACGGGGAGGATCCAGAGGTCCTAGGCGGAGCAGATGGCGCCGGTGACTGACGCGGAGATGTGAATCCGGGAGGCTGCGGTGGAGCCGGAGTGACAGAGGACTGAGGTGGAGCCAAGGGGATGAAGGAGCCTGACGGAGCCGGAGGGACGGAGGGACGAGGCGAAGCCAGAGGAGTGGAGTCCCGAGGCGCAGGATGGTCGACGACCGACGTGCTGGACGGGACCAGCGGAGACGATGGAGAGAGGAGAGGGGGCAGTTCGATCTCCAGATCAGACTTCCAGTCTGTGAGATCACCCTCCTCGTTTTGGCCCTTTTGCTACGCCATACTCGGCTCACCCTCAGCCGCGGTGCAGGGGCCGGAGCTCCTCTCTGCGCTCACACCGTACGTGGCTTTCTCCCTCATGGCAGGCGTTGTTGCCGGCTCACACACCTTGACTAACGTTACGGCCTCTGGCTCCGCGGCGATCCTCAGCTCTGTCGCTCTCTCTTCTTTAATTTTCTTTAAGCCCCGAGTTTCCGAGTTGGGGGCGTGTCATTGAGAAACATGGCGGAATTGATGGATGCAACGTCTGTAGTTGACGGTAAATTTTTATTTAAATTGATAGTTGAGTTGTCTTAAGTTTTTATGCGATACAGATTAAAGTGGCTTCATAAATTACTTTTTAAAAATATTAAAAACGCAAAACACACCTGATGTGAATTCTTTGCTCTTCATTTTCTATAAGCAGAGTTAAGAGACCCTGTTGTATTTTATTGTAATTTATTAAAAGAATGTACACCGCCATCTTGTGCCGACTAAACTGACTTGAACGCACCTGACGTCGTAATTACGACTTGTCAACTTGTAAGTACGAACGTCTCAGGAGGACTTGAACGCAGAAGTAGACCCGACCAACAAGAACTGAAAGGACTAGGGCTTTTAAAGGCAGGATAATTGGGGAGGAACGAAACACACCTGGAATCAAATTAACACAATCAACATGAGGAAGAAACTGGGTCACAGGGGCAAAAACACTCACAGAATAGTCCATAATCCTGACATCTTGTTAGTTATATTCACAAAAAAATATGAATGTAGTTTCAACAAATAAATTAAATTTCAATTTTATATATATTAGGTAGAGTGAACACAATGAAATTGTTACAGAATGCTCAAAACATGTTACTTTAGCTCATTTTAAATAAAATGAACAAGAGGCAAAAATAATTTTTGTGTACAGTCACAAATACACTCAAAACACTTAAAATAAACTGAACAGTAAACTAATAACACTGTAACTGCTGTAGAGTATAATGATACCAACTCTAGTTTCTCCAGCTTGCATTGTGTGTTCATCAGTAGATCACTGAGGTTTTTCACTCCAGAGTCTCCTAGTTTATTCCCGCTCAGCTTCAGTTCTCTCAGGTGTGATGGGTTTGATTTCAGAGCTGAAGTCAGGATGAGACACTGTTTCTCTGTAATACTGCATCTCCACAGACTGAAGACAGAAAGAGAAAAGACGATGAATCAGACAAGTGTCAAGTTCATGTGTGAGTAAATCCATCATGTGTTAACACCATACAGTGCAATAATAATAATAAAAAGATGAACCTTATTATATGACCATAATCAAAAACAGAAGAAAAATAAAGATTAACAAAGTAGATTAAGATGTTACGAACGGCGAGTTAAATCCCTACTCAAAGAGAAATAAATTGATCCGTAACAATTAACAGGGATCCATCTAGGAAAGATCCCTGGGGTCCCCGCTCTCACTCTCAAAGTTTCTCAACCACAAAATATTTAGGTGCAAATAAAAGTTTATTAAATAAAAATAAACAAAGGAGCATCATAACTTCGGGAGGGGTGATTTGCCAAAGTAAATTACAATAAACAAAACTACTACTATACACAAACTAACCTAGAAATCAGATACAAATAAAATGCAAGTTCTTACCTCCCTGCTAACATAAACAGGAGAAAACAAACAAAACAAACAGGCACCCACCTCCCTACCAGGCTCCACTTAACCAAGGTCCAGGAAGTAAGCGACCAAACATAACAGACATACAGTACAACTAAACTGTTACTTAACTCAATGGTTGACAACAAATGTCTAAGTTAGCACACACGTTACACAACGGGAACAACAGTGTTAACAGCGAAGACACCAGGAGAGCGGGGAGCCATATGGAATGCCAAAGCTGACTTAAATATAAATAAATAAATAAATAGATGTACAAAGAAATGTAAAAAAGCAAAAATAAATATTTATTTTATTTCCTTATTTTTTCACATTTATTTATTTATTTTATTTATTTATACATTTATTTATTTCCACTTTTATTTATTTTCGCATTTATGTATTTATTTACGTATTTATTTATTTCCACATTCATTTATTTCTACATTTATTTCTTTTTACATTTCTTTGTCCGTAGGGTAATGAGGAGGGCGTGTTTTACCTCAGGAATAGCAATCGAGCCAGAGTAGGCGAGGGGTAAGCTTTGAGGCCACAGTGACACCTTGTGGTGCCCAAACGAAGTACAAGAAGTGTAGCCTACATGACCCGCCTGTTGATAGTGTGGGATGAATGATTTAGATGGGCAATATGGCCAAAATCGTATATCACGGGTTATTATTTCAATTTCACGTGGGGGGTTGTTTCGGCTGGGAAGCGTGCAATCTGTGATCGCGTGCATTTGCTGAAGCTCACGAAAGCGTTCAATCGCTGTTTTTTTTAGGTTTCACTTTCAACACATGCAACGCATGTTTCAAAGATTCGGGATAGAAGGAAGCATCAGTTACTGTAGAAGATTTGTCGCCTCGCGCCACTTCCCGTGTGGACAGTCACTGCATCAACTGATTATAATGGGTTCTCTTGCTGTAGACATGGCTTTAGAAATGGATTAATCACACGTCTTAGGCTGGAAATATCCAGATCAAATAAAAGGTGTCCATGGGAACGGAGCTAGTGAAACACACACGCCATGCATTGTAGCCTAAAACATGTTTAATATTTGCGACTGACACCAACGATTGTATGCGGCTATGCAGTGGAGATGCGTTCACTGTCAAATATCATTAGGCAAGCATTCATTTTGAAATTTTGTCAAAAATTTGTTCTTGATTACAAGAAAAAACTCTATTGTTCTTGTTGTGATTTATTTCTTGTTTTTCATTTAGTTCATAAGTAAACACTGCAAATTAAATGGTTTCATTTTTTTTCTGCAGTCGAAGAAAGTATAGCCTAAATTATGTCAGTGATTTCTCTCATTTTAAAGATTATCAAGATTATTTTTTTTTCGATCTGCTGTCTAATAAAAGTTAAGAAAATTAGCCTATAGATCAGACTACAGGCTAATTTCATTCTTTCTTAACTTTTAACTTCTTAAAATTTGTTATGAAGAATTTTCAATCAACTTCATAACAAATAGGCTAGGCTAATGGATTTTCGTCATAAGCAGGGATGTCAAACTCAATTCCTGGAGGGCCACAGCCCAGCAGAGTTTAGCTCCAACCCTAATTAAACACACCTGATCCAGCTAATCAAGTCCTTCAGGCTCAGTTGAAAACATGGGCTGCGTTCAGCCCCGATAAAACGGTGCAAAACGTTTACTGAGTTTGACACCCCTGGTCATAAGCAATATACGAACATAACGATTGCCCTAGCTATTCTATGAAACAACATTTTCATTCAAAAAATCATAAATCACGAATATGACGAAATAAATATATATAAGCCTATATATATATATATATATATATGCCTATATAAAGTAATTATATATAATAGTTTTACGTCAAATTGGTAAGAAAATTACAGTGCCTTGAATTCATGAAGTAATCTTTTATTTCGTTCTAACCTGTAACTTGGGAAATGTAACAAAAAAAGCCAATCATTTTTAAGTGTGTGGGGGGTTTGGGGAGGGATATATATATTAAGGTATTATAGTAGCATTATATAGTGGTTCAACGCATTATACTGTGTTTTTTTTTTTTTGAGTCACAGATCGGACTATTTTTTCGGATAAGCAAGAAAAAAACTATTTAAAGCACAGAGAATGACAATGCCATGATGGGTTTTTGACATAGGCTAATTTTATGTGTATGTATACGCAGCTCGGTATTTCCGCGCTGTCTGAAACACGTCTCTTGTGCGCACTTTGATGGTGTGCGAGAACAGCACGTGAGTAACGATTTGAGCTCTCTTTCGTTTCTTCTTGTTGTAGTTTAAAATTGCTTGTACGTGTAAATTGGCAAATTAATCTGCGAATCACGTGCGTGCGGAACGGTAGTGTCTCATCCGTACGTATTGGATCAACTGCGATACGTTTAACTCCTAATATGTGACAGATCAGAGCAATCTTTCATTTACTTATTTAACATGAAATTGTCAAATTGCTACTCCATATCAATCGCATACAACGAAAATACTGAATAATAGCAACTTAATGCAGTAATATTTTTATTTCGTCATATTCGTGATTTATGATTTTATGAAAATTTTGTTTTATAGAATAGCTAGGGTGTTTATGTTCGTATATTTCTTATGACGAAAATTCATTAGCCTATTTGTTATGAAGTTGATTTAAAATTCTTCATAACAAATTTTAAGAAGTTAAAAGTTAAGAAAGAATGAAATTAGACTGTAGTCTGATCTATAGGCTAATTTTCTTAACTTTTTTTAGACTGCAGATCGGAAAAAAAATAATAATTATTGATAATCTTTAAAATGAGAGAAATCACTGACATAATTTAGGACTGCGGTCAAGCCAGCCACACTTTTCTTTGTTTTGCGCGTGTAATCGTGCACTTACGGTATGGGTGCTGAGAGCAGTCAAAATGCATGTAAAGAAGCTGTCATTCTGACGTTTCCTTTATACTGTTGCTTATTTTAACTTTTTTTTTTTTTTTTTTTTTAAGTATGTATTTGTATAACAAAATGCGTCCTAGCACTTCCACTGTGTCCCATTTTCCAACACTCATAAAAAATGTTCCTTTATAGGTTAGCTCATTCTTTCAATTGATATGTATTCAGAGTGACCCTGACTATCACTGTATAAATTTTGAAGGCATTTTACTGTTTAGTGTAAGAGAAAACTAAAAGCAAAATCACCCCAAACATCAAACTCCATTGTTGCACTTGGATTATTTCCGTATATTCAAACACTCATAAAAAATGTTCATTTATAGGTTAGCTCCTTTTTTAATTGATATGTATTCAGAGTGACCCTGACTATCGCTCTATTCGTTTAAGGCATTTTACTGTGTAGTTTTGGAGAAAACTAAAAGCAAAATAACCCCAAACAACCAAATACATCCTAGCACTTGCACTGTGTCCCAATTTCCAACACTCATAAAAAGTGTCCCTTTATAGGTTAGCTCATTCTTTCAATTGATATGTATTCAGAGTGACTCTGACTATCACTCTATTCATTTTCAAGGCATTTTACTGTGTAGTTTTGGAGAAAACTAAAAGCAAAATCACCTCAAAAAACAAAGTCCATTCAAGCACTTACACCATGCCTCATTTTCAAGCACTATATACATTATACACACAATGACGTCTTGCATTTTACGTTTTACTGACATTTAATGTAGTGAATGCCTTCTTTTTAACTAGAACTGATTATGTTCATCATTCATTTGAGAAGTCGTTATTTGTGTGGTTACTAATTCCTCACCTTCAGTTTCATTTCTTATATCTACGTTTTTTATAGCCCAGTCAGTTTCGTTTTTGGTCGTCGGTTGTTGTGTTTGTTTATGGTGATATGCCGGCAAAGCTGTTTTTTTTTTTTTTTTTTTTCTTTTTTCTTTCTTTGCAGTTTAACTTTCTGGATTAATTTACATTATATTTCTGATAATATTTTTTTAATAGATGATGATGATGTTCCACCGACACCAAAAATGTCTCGGATTACAAGCAGCAGACCCACATGAGTTAATTGTTTTCAGTCTATTGAATAAAACTGCTCAGCTGGAATCCTCACTTCTCATCCTTGACTGGATCGTTACAATTATATAGTATTGAGATTAACTGTTGAATTATCTATTTAAATGAAAATCTTACAACGAGTGGCAAATCACAGAGATAAGGAAAGACAGTTGATAACACAAAGAAAAATAAAAGTGATGCAGTGTCATGTCACTGTTTGAATATGGTCACACTTGTATAAATGTTTTGCTTTTGTTATTACAGAAAACAACTATGTGCCTCTTGAAGAACAACAGCACTTTCAGCATGCTGTTGTACTCATGTGCAACCCATCAGACTGCACAACAGTGTCTACTGTGGCTTCAGCACCTGCGGACATTTATTGACTCTGCCGCACACTAATGCACACACATCTAATAACATCATATTCTCATAATTTGTTTGTGTTTAATTGCTTAAAAATTAGATATTTGCATTTGCATCTATTGTGAAATGTCATAACACAGGTTACATAATGCCTATCCAACCATCTGTCTGTAATTCAGTCTTTATAAAACTCTTGTTTACATTGCATGTACTGCAGACTTCTGAAAATCAAGCTTTCTGTACAATAAAAAAAAAAAAACTAAGGAAAACTCTAAAAATATATTTGTTCCAATCAAAACATGAACATGATCGTTCCCTATCGATACTTCACTCGTACTGCGTCGCTAGATGCTTATGGGGAAAACTCCTTTTTCTCAGGGGACTGAAAACTTATTCAATCACGCAGTGTAACTGCACAGCCATTGGTTCGTGCAGTGATTATAAAAACGAACCAATGGCCATGCAGTTACACTTTGTGATTGAGCCAGAATAAAAGTTATGCCTTCTTTCTTTGCGTGAACATTTGGGCGGCGTTATGCAAATCTTCCCAGATAGTGACGTAGGTATGTGGGGGC